ATATATCTATATATATATATATATATATATATATACTCATTTTTACAAACCTCATTCACCGTAGCTCATATTAGTCGTTTGCTATTATATGTGTCTTCTCTTTCAATAAGGTAACTAACATTTTAGCCAATTTTGAGCAAGCACTTTGCTTAATCTAGCACAATTGTCGAGCCCTTTTGCCACATGAGTGGCCTATATGATAAAATACCTTGTTTTTGTCCATTTATGTCTTATCAAGCCTATCTCATTCTTTCAAAATAAATTTATCTATAAAATTAACTCTCTTCATGCAAAAAAATATTTAAGCTGATTTATATCGTGTCACACCGCTGATACTTCTTTGAGACGTAAAAACTTAAAAAACGTTGCAGCAATGGGATCCCAAACGAGCCCTAATTTTGCTGTCATTCTTCAAACAACATAGATTAGAGGAAGAAAGACAATAAAATTAATTTAAATTAACTAAATATTAAACTCTTAACTATTATTATACATACAAAAACCTTAATGCAGTTGGCACATTTGAGTTTCATATTCTCCAACAATATGATAAATTTTTACCAAAAGTTATAAAATAACATTTTTCTTCTATTGAAAGGTAAATTTTAGAAGATTTTCACATAAATTTTATAATCTTTACTAAAATGATCTAATATCTATGATAAAAGATTTCAATATAGCAAAATAGATTCTATAATAGTAATTATGTTAAGTTGAGGCCAGGCGTGCATTTTTTGGTCTTATTTACAGACGATCAGCACAAATTCGTCTGACGAACTATTTCTTTGTTGTTTTTCTAGAAATTGTTCTAAATCAATGTTTTAAAACCAGATGTATTAAAGTGTCCTAACTGTAAAAAAATTATTGCACAATCTGTTGGAAAAAAAATATGTATTTATAATTCTCTCTGCAACATTTAATGAAATTATTTTCTCCACAAAAAATTTATAACCAATTTTATAAAAAATTAGAACCACTACCCTCAAGTTGTCTTTAATTTAAATTTGATATTAATTAATTAGTCAAATTTAAATTCGAACATAAATTTATGAATTTATGGGCTAATTTCTTTATCTAGAAATTAAAAAGTGTTTTTTATTTTTTATTTTATTTAAATTATTAATACCTCTTCAAAGCAAATTAAGAATTATTTGTTGGGCATTGGATTCTAACACGCACACGCATCCAACCCACCTTGCCAAACTACCATAATCACCCCTGGGCCCTGGCTGCCTGGGGCCCATGGCTTAACGTCTAACCCACATATTGATCGCCACGTGTCGACTACCTGCAGTTTGCCGCTTTGCGCCGCACCTCCGCCCATCGGCTACATAAGATAGCCGGAGTTCCCGCGAGAGCTCCAATACAGATCACCGGTTTCTTTCCTCAAGGTTAGTTGAAACCTAGACTTATCAGTTCACTTCACCCCCTCTGATTTCATCTTCCTAACTTCATTTACTTCTTATCTTAGTTTTTTTTAAAAATCTTTTTTCTTATGTATTGGGTTTCAAGATTAGTTTTGATTTTTAGGGCTGTGCCTTGTTTTTGGATCATTCTGTTCTAGACATGTTTTCGAAAATCGACTGCTATTCAAATCGTTGACGTCGTCTGTTTTACGTTGATGTCTAGGGTTTGGTTTACTTCTATTTTTTTCGTCTATGGATATTTAGGTAAAACTAGTATGGCTAATTAAGGAAAAAAGAGGTTTCTCTTATGGATCTAGCTAGAGCGACCTTTGGAAGTATTCTTTAGTTGACTGGGAGCAGCGTTGGGATTGGGAAGTGTTGGGTTTTTTTTTTTTTGTGCTGGGTGAGATTAGTTTATATTCATTTTGTATTCTAATTCTGTGAGCTATGCTTCCAGGATCAATCTGGTTAAAAATATACATGCTTCACAAAGAAGTTGTTAATGGAATCGTTTTCGTTTACCGAAGGACGAGCTTCCGAAGCTTCTTTGTACTTGTCTTAGGATGTATTTTGCCCTTTTGTGCATATTGTTCGTATTTAAGGGGGATTATTCCTCTTTTACCGCTAACCTTCGAGTTCTCTTTCAATTATTTCTGTAGCATTCTGTATAATGCTATGTGCATGTCGTTTCTGCATTCATGTGATTTGGTGAATCTCACCCTTAAACTTCATTAATTGTTGCTATTTAATAGTTTTCTTTGTGTTATCTTTCATAGCTATTTTGTGGACAGTCGATGACCCAGAGCCTGAGTGGGCTCATCTTATTCCCGCACCTAAAAAATTGGTTGTCTTTTTCATATATTCTGGAGACTGGAGCCAAAAAAGGATTGGCAATTAGTCATGTATCAAGGAGTTTGTTCTTTTTACTGTCTGCTAGTATGATTCCTTTTTTAGATGAATGTTATGAGCTTTTCATTGTCTTTTAACTTCATGTATGTTTTGGTATTAAAATTCTTTTGAAAAGTTTGAGTGTGAAAGCAAAATATTGATGTAAGCAGGATTTGATCAAAGAAGTTTGCAAAAAAATTTAAGGTGTTTTCCAACTAAATTAACTGACGTCCACCTGTCCACATACTCCACATACATCTTTTATACTGATGCATGTTCATCTTTTATTTCTTTTATATCAGCTTTTATATTGTTTTATGCAAGGCAAAGTCATGTCATCTACGTTTTCTTTTCGAATCTGCTGATGTACCTCAGAGTTCAGCCATAGGCGCTAGAGATGTTAGGCTCGACCCTAACCCTCAGAACGACCAAGAGTAATATCCTAGAAGAAGATGCGCTTAATAGGGCTCATAATCCGAGCAAGAATAGACAACAATTGAATCATAGTTGAGTAAATAGAGCGTTTTTTTTTCATCCTGGCTGTTTGGTGTATGCTACTATATATATATATATATATAATATATATATTGCTTCCCCTTTCTCATAAACATTTTGTGGATGATAGATGAGCCAAGAACTTGAGTAGGCTTATGTTATACCTTTTTTGCATGATGGCTTATATTGCTATATATTACATCTTTTCATGCATGAAATATATAAGTCTAATCCCGCATGCATCGGGCATTCACTAATACAGTGTTTTACAAGGAATTAATGAATGCTGCCTTATTCTTGTATTGCACAATGATTGTGTTAAGTCTCCATGGAGGTAACATAATCAAGGCCTGGTTGGTATAAAAGTCAATGAGGAAGAGTCTAATTAAGCTCATTGGTCACGGTAGAAGGCATTGAGGCATTTTCCATTTTTGAGAAATAGATTCTGTGTTGATTTTTGGTCGGCATTTGTTCATATTAAGATTTCAGTAGTATACTTTATTTTTTGTGTTTCCTTATTTACTCTTTTGCATTTATTCCTAAGCCCGGGTTCAGGTGTTCGGATTAATTTGACCTTTTATATGTCAACTTGAGGATGTTTTAGGGGATATATTTCTTCATTCATTGTATTTTGAATAAAGGGCCATTTACATACATACCGCCAAATTCATATGTATTTACATATCTAACACCTGAACTTTACTTTTCACATTTATACCACCCAAATCTTTCACGTCACATAAACGTCACATAAAAATTTCACGTCACATAAAAAATACCACTATATTAACATTAAAAAAGTGAAATACACTTTTTTATGCATATACATATTTAAAAATTGAAGTTTAGATGTTAGATATGTAAATAAATAAGAATTGAGTGGTATGCATGTAAATATTCCTTGAATAAATAAATTGATTTTGAATGGGGTATAGTTTTTCGTGCTCTCGTCTTTCTCCTATGTTGTGAATGCAGCATGCTTTCTATATGTAAACTCTATTAACAATGTCTTGGTTCTATTCTTTATACAGCTTGGGACAACACAATATTCATGAGTTCCAAACGAACAGTGGCCTCTGCTGTTTCCTGTTCATCGGGAAGGAAGAACGACTCTGGAGTTTTGGTTGGCCTTCTCCCAGGTTTCCTGGGAGCTCCTATTGTTTGTGTAAACTTCCTCTTGTTCAAGGCCACTGTCAAGAGCCCAGCTTCATCTTTTGTACCTTAGAAGGTTTAATAACTACCATTTTCTTCTGCTGAGCATTTCTGCTGATGGTTTCCTCTGGCATATCTGTTCTAAAGAAGAGCAGTAGACAAATACTTCTGCCCATGGACCCACCTGATGCTATTCCAGCTGATCAGGAGGAATTTGATTTTTCGGATGTTTTTGGCCCTACTTTGTCCCAAACCTCAAATGATGCTGATGTGTCAACATCAGAAAACTCCGTTCCACAATTAGCTTCAGATGGAAAATTTAATGTTGCCCCACTTGTCATTCACAACCGTTCACACTCTCTAGTTGGCCCTTCTCCTCGTATTACCCACTTTTCTCAGCTCGCCAAGCTCACCCTGCATGAGACTGAGAACTCATTGGAGATTGTAGAATGCTCCTTAGATGAGAATGAAGTTCATCAACAGAAGTCAGCCAATGATCCGGAAAAGAATGGTAATGTCACTGAGGATGTTCAAAGCTTGGGACTTGAAGATTTTGAAGTCTTGAAAGTTGTTGGGCAGGGAGCTTTTGGGAAAGTTTTTCAGGTGAAGAGAAAAGGCACTTCGGAAATATTTGCAATGAAGGTTATGAGAAAGGATAAGATAATGGAAAAGAATCATGCTGAGTACATGAAAGCTGAGAGAGACATTTTGACAAAAGTTGACCATCCATTTGTGGTTCAGCTGAGATTCTCCTTTCAGGTTTGGATCTTAAGCAATTTTGCTCGCTGCTATTTTGATGTTGCAATGCCTTCAAAGATTGGTGTTGGATGCTTTGAGTTATCCAAACAAATGCTTAATTATGCATATATATGCTTAGCAAGTTCTTATGGTGTAAGAAGCTTTTGCCTAAAATGAAGTATTAATAGCTCGACCATTGATTCACCTCTTCGTTTCCTACCACTGCCCGTATGTACTTGTGTTTTCAATAGACTAAGTATGTGAAGCATAAGCCATTCATGCTCTCCATATTTCATAACTGTTACTAAATTTTTCCTTGGCCTTGCTTGTATTCAGAGTAATTTTTTTTATGGCCTCATTGACTTAAATCAGGAACTTGGTCATGCTCAGGGAAACGGTTCCTTCATACACAAGATGCTCTTTATACTATGCTTTTTGTAAAAATCAAGCTGTCATGTTTAATTGATTATCATGCTGATTTTATGAGGGCGTGTCAACTTCAAAGACTATTTTGCTCATTAAGTGATTTCTTCGTCATCTTACTATTGGAAAATTCCAGATTTATAACTAATATTTTCACCAAAAAGCATGAAATTTTATCGGAAATTTTAATTACCGGCGTATTCCCGACGGGTATAAGCGAGTTGGCAAATCCTTAGTTGCCAAATGCCTTGTGACAACTAATAAATCTGCCGGAAAATATGTTCGTCTGATTTTTTGTAGAATTTCCGTTGACAAGTTGTTGAAATCTACTAGCAACAAACTCATGGGAAATGTTTTTGGAAGCTTGACAATTGGTAAGTAATTTAGCCAATAGAATTTCTAGGGGCCTTTGTTGCTGGAAATTGTGGAAAAATTTTTTAACTGAATTTCTGTCACAATGTTTTTAAATGGAGCTTTTATTTCATAAAAAAATTCATCACAAACCTGTATATAAAGGAAAAATAATAATAAATGCATCTAATTCTTTTTCATTTTTACACCTGCAATATGCACAAATAAAATTGAGATTTTCCTGAAGTTTTATAATTATTCATCATCATATTATAATTAGTGTACTGAGGAGAATCAAACACACATAAATTTTTCAATCTAACAAGTTCCAAAAACATTAACATTGTAAGTTGTTTAATATACTAAATAACAAAAAACACAAACTCATAAATTGCAACTAATCATCATCAGTCCTTTCATTGCCCTCCACCACATCTTTCTACGCTTCTATCATAGCTATTTTCTCTGCAAATAGATTTAAATATATGTTCAAAAGAAAAATTATGGAATGAACTAGAAGATTTAATATAAATGATATCTCTTGAAGAAAAAAAAAATTATTGGATTAAGTGGACATGTTAGTACTGCGGTAGAAGATTTAGGAATATTCATGATAGTTATGGTTTTGGAGTAATTAATAAAGAAGGTGGAACCATATTAAATTTTGCTTTAGCGTACGATTATGTTATTGTTTATACTTTATCAAAAAAAAAGAAATAAGCATGTTATTACTAAAATTGTCTTGTGGATAATACTACAAAAAAACACCAGGAAAAACTTGAATTATGGGGGTCTGCATTGTAGTCTAAAGACCTTCGTTTGAGTATATCTAAAATTGAATATATGTAATGTAATTTTAATAATAGTAGCTCTCGTGGTAGAGTTGTAACTATGGGTGATCAAATTATTAAAAGGTATGAATGTTTTAGATATCTCAGGGATATTGTTCAAAGTGATGGTCAAGCGGATAGGGAGGTTATTAGTAGGATTGAAGTAGGTTGAATTGAAGGAATGCATCGGGCTTATTTGTAATAGAAAAGTACTGCTTAGATTTAAAGGAAAATTCTATATGATTGTGGTGAGAACTATAATGCTTTATGGCGTAGAATGTTGGCCTTTAAAAGAGAAGCATAAAATAAAGTTAAGTGTTGTTGAGATGAGAATGCTTAGTTGGATGAGTGGCTTGGCAATTAGAAATTAAATGTGGAATGAATATATCTGTCATAGGGTTGGTGTAGCTCCAGTGGCGGACAAGATTATAGAGCCGTCTTAGATGTTCTTGTCACATTAAATGTCGACCATTTGATGATCCGGTTAGGAGAATAGATGTTTTAGATTTGACTTATGTTAAGAAAGGAAGAGGTGGACCTAAAAGTGACTTTGGTAAATATCGTAAAAAATGATCTTAATCTATTATAATTAAACCAAACAGATGATCTTAATCCTTTTGAATCAAAACGAAAACATGATACTCAATAGGATGCAATGGACAAAAATGATTCATTTAGCCGACCCCACTTAGTGGGATAAAGGCTTGTTGTTGTTGTGGCTTCTTTAACTGTCAATTGAGCTTCCATCTGAGCAGTCATAACCATTCTCTTTTTGACTAGGTTGTCGATTGAATCAGTGCTCTCTGCGGAGAAAAAATTGACTTGCATTGAATGCCAAATCTTACAAACCTAAGCGATATATTATTTTCTTTTTTATTTAACTTATCTCCATTTATCAAGCTCTGACTACCAAGATTATCCTCTTAAACTTCATACAACTATTGGACTTTTGACTCTGCACCTCATTCAACCTCATGTACTCATTCTAAGAAAAACATTATGATGCGATTAAGACATAATATGTTTCCAAACAGTTTATAATTCAAAAGTAAATCTTTTGCTTACATATGCTCTTCATGACTTGGCGCCTGCTCATTCATGATTCACCTATTGCTCGTGTTCTACCATGCAACTTTGTAGCTGTGAGTTCTCTTTCAAGTACTTATTTTTGTAATCATACTTGCAAAGTTGGTAAATAACGCTGACAAAATTTTTAAATCTATATTATATATGATTTATCAGTCTTCTGTATTCAATATGAGAAACTTGGCCTCCAGTTTATAGGGAGTTGCCCATGTCCTTACAATCAGATGCCGGTTTTGCTTTGCCTGCTCTCTTCTGGGAACATAATCAAGAATGGTTCAAGCCCTATATATCTCAGCCCACACCTTCTTTCTAATCCAAAGAGACTTCTGTTTAGTCTTGCAAATGTCTTTGAACATATTTCGTAAATGAGCCTTCTCTTATCTCCAAATTATTCTGATATATTTGTTGTGCTCTGACAACTCAAAAATTCTCTATAACATAAAACATAATATTGATGATCATCAAAACTAGAGCACAATATAGTGCGTGTTTGAGGGTTTGGTTAATATCTCAAATTCTTTAAACCATATATTGCGTACCGCTAATAGAATATTCTCCCAAAATAATAGCGAGCAAGATGCATGCTTCTTATTATATCTCTAATTTAATGTACTGTCTATCTAAATTGATTGAATTTGTTGAAATAAAAATGTAGTTTGTACTTTATAAATCGAAAAGTAAAAATAAATACATAGAGTGGAAGCCATAATTTGGGTGAGGCTAACAAGGATAAATTAGAGCAGCATTGGCAGAGTTTGGTGAGTAATAGACTCTGCATTTGTAAGTGAAGTGGTACGGGATGGCGATCGGCGAGGAGATTGTCATGGTGAGTGACAATGCTACTAGTCTGAAAGCGATGATAGGAAACAATCTTCTTTTCTTGAAAGTAGTTTTGATCAATCTATGAGGGTGTCATCATCATCACCTGACGTCATCTATTATAAAGAGAACTTATATGATAGGATCTACAAAAAAACATTCCAAGTATTAAATATAATATACATAGTGCATAATTACATTATATGTAAGAAATATAAGAATTTTTTGTATCTATGACGCACATGTCATATATATTCCTCAGATAATCCACTAGAAATTGAATTTAAGTTTACTTCATCATTGCTAGTAATATTTTGTAAACTTTATAACTGATTCAACAATATCACTTAAAAGTTTGAAATATGTTCATCTCTTTTGGATGAGCATGATCAATAAGATTTTAAACTTCAATTATTGTCATAGGTTTGATCTTGATTACCACTGCCAAATTCATTTTTTCTGTTATTCTTCCAGGATATCTAACACAATATCATTAATTAATTTGTCGCGCCAAAAAAAAAAAAGATCAAATTTCAATATATTTTTTGCTCAGTTTAACTTCAATAATGCCGTATAACTTTTATAGTTTTGTTCCGTGATTAGAAATAGAATTAAAACAATAACAATTGAATATAAATTCATTTCTCTCATTTGAATCAAGATATTACAACTGTACAATCTCTTATAAAATTTTATAACAAACTTTCTCATCAGCTGAATGCTTCTCTTCTCTAACTTACACACAATAGTAATTTGTTTTTTCCTTTTCAGGCCAATAATTAGTGTGAAATATGTACCTGTTTACATAAAAAGTTAGTCATGTATTCATACTTTGCATAGATCCCCAAACAAGATAATGTAGGGCCTAATTCTTCAAGCCATTAGTCTGATGTTTCTTAAGTGGAATTTTTTCAAGTTACGCGAACCATGATGTAGAATTTGTATAATTCATTTTATTTAACCGGAGAAATTTTGCTAGTATTTTTGTGCATGACTTGAAAATTTTAATATTGATTTGTTTTGCTTTTGAGCAAATGAGGAGCCAGTCAGCTAATGCATTTGTAATCAGATATCATAGGAACCTGATTTTTTTGCTTTCATCCCTAATTTCCACTGGCAGCTAGAAAAACCAGCAAATCACGAACAATACAAACCGCAATGTAGGTTGGAAAATGCTCCATCTAATTGCAAAAAAAGGGAGAAAAGAGGCTGCAAAATTTTTGCTCTCGCGGACTTTGAGGTTTACCTCAATTTATTTGTTCGATAACAAGATTATGGACCTGCAACTCCAATTTCATGGGTTTCTTCTTTGCTACTATAGCCATGTTATGTCTAATTTGTTGCATGTACCCTACAATTTATTTTCACACTAATTTCATTAGTTATAATTGATTCTTGGTAATGTTTGATCTTTCATTACTGTTTAAAAATTTTTCTCAAGTAATGAGAATTTGAATATTAAAGTTTAGGCATTCCAAATAAGCATTCTTATTTATGAATTTGGAAGCATTGATGATGTTGATTTAGATATACATCAATTTTACTTTCCTTATACAGACAAAATACCGACTCTACCTGGTCTTAGATTTTGTCAACGGAGGACACTTATTCTTTCAGCTCTATCACCAAGGTTTATTCAGGTGATTTCTTCTGTCTTATTCCAAAAATTCTTTATTAATTCTCATTCCTCATAATTCACCATTTTACTTCTGTTTCAGAGAGGATCTGGCACGCATATATACAGCTGAAATAGTCTCTGCCGTCTCTCACCTTCATGCAAATGGAATAATGCACAGAGACCTTAAACCCGAAAACATCCTTCTAGATGCAGATGGCCATGTAAGTTTATTTGGAATAAGCTTTCTATCCTGACCAATTTGTCAAAGGTGCATTTACATGCATATCACATAATTCTCATGTATTTACATCTCTAACTTCTAAACTTTCATATTTACATCCATAGCACTCACTCAATTCATTAATATCACATAAAATATACCTCTTTTACTTTATAAAAGTGAAATACACCTTTCCATGCATAACTTTATAAATGTCTTGTTCAGGTCATGCTGACTGATTTTGGGCTGGCGAAGGAGTTTGATGAGAATACGAGATCAAACTCCATGTGTGGCACTGTGGAGTACATGGCACCAGAAATTATTCTTGGGAAAGGGCATGATAAGGCTGCTGATTGGTGGAGCGTTGGAATCCTTCTATTTGAAATGCTTACTGGGAAGGTATATGCTGTTGCTTTTGCAATATTAAAATTTTGAGGCATTTACATATATACCACTCAATTCCTATGTATTTACATACATACATGCATATCACCTAAGCTTTCATATAACATCCAAAATAGCATCATTTTAACTTCAAAAAAGCAACATAGATAGGGTGGAATGTATGAAAGAAATGAATTTTTTGAGTTAGATATGTAAATAAATAGGAATTGTGTGGTATGCATGGAAATCTTGCTAAAGTTTTCTATTTCACTGTCTGTTTTGAACTGTGGTTATCTATCTAACCATGGTTAGCTTCATTTGCAGCCACCATTTGTTGGAGGGAACCGGAATAAGATTCAGCAGAAGATAGTGAAGGATAAGATAAAGCTGCCAGCTTATTTATCCAGTGAAGCCCACTCCCTATTAAAAGGGGTAAGCTTTCCTTTTCCGAATCTTTTTGAGTTCAATCTTTTGAACATTACTAGGACCAATTTGATTGCTTGGAAATAGAAGACATGTTTTCAAATCTTATGTATTTACATCTCCAACACCTAAACTTCAATGGTTAAATATATTTCATATTATTTATTTATGCATGAAAGATATATATTTCACTTTTTAAAAATTAAAATAATGATATTTTTGACATGATATGAAAGATTCGAGTATTATGGCATTTGCATACGCTATACAATTCTTATGTAGTTACATGTCTCACACCTAAACTTTTATATTTACACATATCACAGAAATCTTTAATATTACACCAAAAATAACACTATAATCATATTTTCAAGTCTTCTTCAATTGTTTCACAGCTGCTGCAGAAGGAAGCCAGCAGAAGACTGGGGGGCGGAGCAGACGGCAGCAATGAGATAAAGAAACACCATTGGTTCAAATCAATAAACTGGAAGAAACTGGATGCTAGAGAAATACAGCCGAGCTTCAGGCCTAATGTTGCGGACAAGCTGAGCATCGTCAACTTCGATGAAAAATGGACCAACATGTCCGTGCTTGATTCTCCTGTTGCCAGTCCTGTGGCGGGTGATTGTAATTTCAACGGTTTTACGTACGTCAGGCCACCACCTGTTTTCCTTCAGAAGCCAAGTCCGCTGCAGCGTAAGGCTTCTTCTCCATTTAAGTGATGATGATTTATGCTGGGCTGGTTCACTGACGATTTGTGTTATGTTCTCTCAGTTTGGTTAATGTTTTCGTGATTTATAATTATAAACTTTGTTTTTGGTGACATTTATACACTTGTTTGAAAGAATTTCTTTTTATTGCAGAAGAAATGTTTTGAGCTCCATGTCACAGACAAATAGTCACACTAGGTATAGGGCCAAAAAATAGTATTTAAGTGCTGAGTTGTCCACCACTCTCAAGGGCTTTTTAGGGAGGTCCAGTTCCAGCTCAATTAATTAATTAGTCAAAATTCAGATAAAAAAGCTTAAACACCTGATTTATGTAATTAATATCGGTTCTTCTATGTTTCTTTGCTGTGTTTGTCGGGATTTAATTACCAACTACAATAACTCAAACCTATTCCTCCCTAAAGAGAGTGTCCGCTCCATAGCACACTGGTAAATATTTACAATATTATGTCAACAGAATTGTGGCTGAGTTTAGCATAGTTTTTCTAACTGCTTTTGTGAGAGAAAATTGGCAGCTTATAACAATAATTTTTAAAAAGGTTTACCTTGCATATTACTTAATATTTTAGCATTTAAATATGCTGCATTTCAAATTACTATTTTGAACTTAAATGGCTCATAAAAAAGCTTTAACAGTTCAAAAATTCCACTTTTGACTGCGACTAACTTTCAAAAACCGGAGATGAACTGAAAAGATAGAGGAGAGGGGGCCTGGAGCAAATGGAGGAGCCAGTGATAAAATTGATGTATTAAAAATTTTATCTTATGCAAATAAATTAAAATTTTAGCTGTTAAAACATGTAAAACATAAAAATTTTAGGGGCATCTACTTGCATAACAACCAATTACTATGAATTTACATATCTATCAACTAAACTTGGCTTTTTTTACATATTTATAACACCCGAATTGTTAGTATCAATTTAAAAACACCACTTTTTTAACATATGAAGAAGTAAATAACAGTTTTTTCACGTATAAAGTGAGATATATGTGAAAATTAAACTTTGAGAAATAGAATGGAAATGCATAATAATAAAGTGGTGTGCATATAAATCTTCCAACTCAGTGGGAAAATACTATTGAAGTAATTCCTATAAAATATTACAGAGGTGTTTTCAAAATGTGCTAATTTATAATCTTCTCATCTCATCAGCATAAGATTAATTCAGCGTATGCTTTGCACTTCCTCCAATGATGGAACTCTTAGAATCTAAGGTGAATTGGTCAGAATCCAAATAAACACTCATCAAAGCTTCAGCTTTTACACGGCTCATGCAACTTACATTCACCCAAGCGTTTTAAGTAAAATTCTATAAATTTTCTTTTTTGTGCCATATGACCAAACAAAATTCTAGTGTAATTCACATAGGTAGCATTTGGCAGCGTGTTATTTATATGATTTAATCATGAATTTAGCTTAAATACAACCAACCACCAAAAAAAAAAATTAAATACAACGCTTCATTAAATCTAATTTTTAGTGTTTGATCTGATTTTTCTAGTATTCCATTCTTCTTCTAGCGTTCCGTTACTTTTGTGATAAATTCAGACTTCTTAAATCCCATTGCGAGCCAATCATCGACCACTCCCATCCCTTCCTGTGATAAATCTGAATTTATTGGATTTGATAAATCCTATTTAAAGTAAATCTATCATGCCCTTAATCTTAATTCCGAACTTCTCATTAGCATGACTATATGTTGGTCTCATGACTATAAATAATACTTTAATTCATGTCATAGTCTTCTTCCTAGAGGTAAAGATATCTCATTCCACAGCCATGATTTAATAATTAAAGGAAAAAAAAAAAATAGATCTTTACATGAATGCCACAGTTTTTATGTATTTACAAGTAACAACTAAACACTCACATTTACTTCTATAACATTTTAATGACAAACACATGAAAAAAAAAAATACATTTCGGCTTTAAAAAGTAGGTAATATTAATATTTCTGATATGATATTAAAAATTGAAGTTTTAAGCAGGTAAATATAAAAATTTAAGCATTAGATATGTAATTACATAAAAATTGTGTGACTTACATGCAAATGCCTCCTAAAAAATCTTGAAAGAACAAAAAGGCTTACTTTTGCACTTCCAAAACCAAGACATAACAGAAACATGATACATATAATGGATATTTGGCTAACAAATCACAAGCTTCTTTATATGTTGGCCTCAGAGAGATGTAAGACTCTTCTCATAGCAAAATCATCAAACAATGTAGGCAATGTATTACTTCCTCATCACAGGCCAATTTTGAAGAAATAAAAAGGAAAACGAAAATTTAAAAAAGGTTTATATATCTAATATGCTTGCACGAATCATCACAAAAACCAACTAGAAATCGATCATTAAATTTTAAAATGTGTTGACATAAGAACTGCAGAAGAAGAAAGAGGGGAAAAAGAAAGTGAAATAAAACACATGACTGAGAAAAGCCGCAGGAGGAGTTCAAATTCTTATCATAAAATAAAATCAAACAATGCAATCCATGAATGCGTCAATCATTAAAAGCCCTCATATCAAACAAAAGAAATCAACGTCGTTAAATTCCCATTGATGAACAAAGAACAAATAACCGAGCAATAGATTCAAATTTATTTCTATGATGCCCTAGTATCATAAAAAAACAAGAAACAATATAATCGGAGAGTACTCGTAATCTAGTCTAGTGAAAGTCGTTTTCAACAATTTTACATATCACCGGCCTGATTACCAAAAACTGAAAGAAATGAGCAAAGCAGCAGATAAATCCCCAAACCTACATAGAACAAATACAGCAATGCAAGCTCCACAGTAAAATCAAACAGATACACAACTTACAAACTCAGACAACAAGCGAGTAGAAGAATTTCCATAAATGCATCAAATAAAATTCGATCCAATAGAGCACAAGAACAATGAAGCCAAAAAGTGGTGATAGATTAACAGATCACCCATATGCAACAAAATTGATGTAAGGAAAATCAAAATGAATAGCTTCCAGAAGTTTAAATGTCGTATGAGTATTTGGATGGGTGAAGAAGCGCAAAATGAAGACGTACGAAGAGAAGGAAAGCTCGGGGACTTGGAAGAAACGTACCGCCCGCCTCGATGAAGAAGAACACGCGGTTTCTAGGTTTTACGAATCATGATCAGAGCAGGTTCTGATATCTATATATAGGGCTGGTGATCAATGGATTCGGCCCAAATTTTTTTCTGTCCAAAATTAGTCTTATCTTTCGGCCCATGTTAAGAATGGATTCTATTGGCTTCTGGTTTGGGCTTCGACTCCGGAGAACTTAAATCCTAACTTTGTTTTTGCATAATAATCCTTTTTCAATTGTGCAATGTTTTATAATAATTACAATACTGCCAATATAAAGTGTCACACAATTTATATATATATTCAAATCTAACACCTAAAGTCTAAATATTTACATGCATAATACTTTGGTGTAAAAAATTTATGCTTCAAAATATATATTTTATTTTTAAAAAGTTAATAATAATATTTTAATATAATATTAAAGATTCGAGCAGTATGCATGTAAAGATCAAAATATTTGGATTAGATTTATACATACATAAGGATTGTATGGTATGCATGTAAATACCCCTAAAAAATTATGGTCAAAAGATTTATATAGATATCACTAAGTTCTTATATATTTACATATGGAACACTTAAACTTTAATATATATATATATATATATATATATATATATATCACATTATCTATGTTTGAAAAGGTGTATTTTTTTTTAATTAAAATGATGGTATATTTGATGTGTTGTGAAGATTTTGGTGGTATCAATATAAAAATACAAAATTTGGATGTTAGACATGTAAATAGATAAGAATTAGGTGGCGTGTATGAAAATGCCCCTTTATTTGTCTTTTGAAGTGTTAAGCTAATAGCAATTAACTTTGACATACCATCAATAAATTTTTAGCTTTGGGCATAGATCTAGATGAGTGGCACGAATATCAAGATAATCCTTTGAGCGAGAAAAGTTCAAACTTTAGTTATATAGGTCCACTCTTCCCATGAAATAGAGAAGAGTTGATCATTCTAAATGTATAATAGTAGTTCATCAATAATAGTCTTAGTTTCATCATAATGAATGTTCTTCTCAATGATAGCATACTGCAATGATTGTAGTAGATTGTTATAAAGAAGGCTTGTTTGTTTCGTGAGCCGAACACGAGCTGTTTGCGAATAAAGAGTCATTTTTATAACCCTAATCACGCAGTCGTAGGATGTTACGGGTTAGGGCTAGATTTAAATATTATTATTTATATTAAAATATCATTTAAATTTATTACTCGATTTCGAGCAAATACGAGCTGAACAAGAACGAACAAATCTTAGTTTGTGTTCGACTCATTAACTTAAAGAATGAACCGAACACAAGCTTCTTAACGAGCTAAACACAAACTGTTCACGAACAACGAGTGGTTTTGACAGCCTAGTAGTTGGGCACGTGTGTCGTAATGGTGAGTTGTGATGGAGTTTGTAGGTCCCCTAGGTCAGATTTTGGAGCTACATGAGTTGTGGACAACTTAGCTTGTAATTGGTCACATAGGTCGTAGTGGTGAGCTACGATAATGCTCTTCGGCCACAGGGGTAAAGTCAAAAGATGCACAAGTTGTGAGTCATGTAACTCGTAATTGGTCTCATTTACTGCAAAGTTGAGCTGAGATAACATCCTTAGGCCACAAAGGTTGAAGTCGAAAGCCGAGCAAACTATGGACTACGTAGCTACTAGTTGGTCACATAAGCTGTAATGGTGGGTTACGATGACACCCGTAGGCTACAGAGCCTCGAGTCGGGAGTTGCACGAACTATAAGCCAGGTAGGCTGCAATTGGTCACGTAGTCCGTAGTGGTAAGTTGTGATGTTGTGCGTGAGTTGTACAGACTTTGATGACGTTTGTTGGTTACAATGACTTGACTCGGAACTTGAACAAGTTGTGGACCACGTACGCAGTTATGGTGACTTATGATAACGTTTCTAAGCCAGAGAAGTAGAGTCTGGAGCTAAATGAGTTGTGGACCACGTAGATCATATTTGCTTGTATATGCCACAATGGAGAGCTATGATGACATCCATAGGCCTTAGGGGTTGGAGCAGAGAGCCACAAGGGATGTGGACCGCGTAGGTCATAGTTGGTCGTGACGGTTGTAGATGTGAGCTCCAAAGATAAAGTTTTAGAAGTTAAAAGAAAGTCACTATCTTCGAAGTGCATTGTTACACTGTCATTGAGAGGCATGGTTGTATCGTATGTGAGGTGCACAGTTACACTATCTTTGGGGTGTGTCATCACACTGTATTCGGGGTGTATTGTTACACCATTTTTGAGATACCATGTTGCACAGTATGTGAGGTGTGTTGTTCTGCATGATGTATCGTTGCTCTGTAATGTACGTTGTGATTTCATAGCGCACGTCGTGATTCCATAAGAGGTTTTATTGCAATTAGTCGGAGTTGTCCGAAGATGGTGGTCGGAGAGGAGTGCTCGATAATGTTAGGTAGCTGGATGAGTGAATGACATTCGCCAGATATGCGGAGCAAAATGAATGTTGGACCTTATCTCCTCATCCAAGCTTCAATTTTCTCTTGGTTCAAGGTCTCCCGCTCCCCTCCTCTCAAGAGGGCTAGATTCTGAGAGAGTCATCTGTACAAATAAGAAAAGAATTAAGACCAGTACATCAGATGATTTGGAGTGATTCTCTCGATCAGACGATGTTTGGTAAATGTTTGAGTGCATTAATGATGTCAGAATTGAGTGATGTTAGGCTCGTTGAACTTATTTCGTCTAGACACTCAATTTGAACATAAACTTGTTAAATTTTGACTCAATTTGACCTTCCAATTATGAACCAAAAGCTTTCAAAATAGGTTTAAAGGCTTAATTTGCTACTGATTTGACTTGGATTATACTTGAACCAGTCAGCTTGACCATAAATTTGTTTAAATCAAAATTCTAGATGATTTTTAATCGAAGTTTGAACAATTTTCTCGCTCAATAAGTTGCCTTGAGATTCATGTCTGATAATAATTTTTTTCATGGAATATCAACCCTCAAATCAGTTTTGGCATCTCCAAAAACTACATTGTTCTCATTCATTATTATTTGACTTTCTTTTAAATGAACATATAATTTTATTAATTCTTCAAATACTACCAAATCTATCTTGTAATATTTTCTATTCTATTTGACTGCTAAAAACTTCACATTCTCCTTGGAGATTAATTAAGTTGTTGCTAAGTGGAGAAAAAGCAAATTTAGAAAAATTCACATACATTTCACATCATTTGATGTATTTATATGCTTACACTTATATTTATAACATTCATGCATAAAAAAAACAATTCATTTATGAAAAAAAATTTAATAGTAATATTTTTTATATAATGTTAAAGAATTAAGTGGTTTTTATATAAATATGAAAGTTTTAAATACTAAATATGTTAATATATTAGAATAATATATTAGAATTGAATGATATGTATGTAAATGCCCCCTACATCTCATTTTCTCCTAGTAGGAAATGGAGATTGCATCTACTTCATCTCTGCAAAACTTTTAGGGCTGCAAGACATATGCAAGGATTTTGAGATTTTTAATTATTGAGAAATACAACAAATGTAAATTTTTTTTTATAAAAAATTTGAATTATAAATTTATTTATATTCCTCGAATGCGTAATATATTAATTAAAAATAAAATAAAATAATCCTATATATCAGGGAAGAATGCTCATTAAGAAAAAAATAAGATACATGCAACCCAATTCTTATATACTTATATACCTAACACCTACATATTGTCTTTTTGTTACATTTAAATATCCAAATCTTTCACATGACATTAAATATATCTCCATCTAAACTTTTAAGAAGTGAATTAAACCTTTTCATGCAAAGGTAATATGACATGCACGTAAAAATTATGTTAGACATATAAATGCATAGGTCTATAAGAAAGCCGAATCAAGACGTGCATGTCATAGCTTGCATTTTGCTTGATCGAATTATTAACCATTCATATTCAGCTCAAAACTTGACCCGACCTTTCAAGTATATATTCATAGTTATTTAAATGCTATTAAGTTGATATTTACTTTGTACTTTTACTTACATACATTAATAAAATAAATTGAAAAGCTATCGTGGGTAATTTTTTACATAAAAAATAAAATTTTTACTTGTATTTTATTTTTAATATAAAACTAATAAAAAAAGTTAAGAATTAAAATAAATATTAAAATTTCTATATATAATTATTAACAGCTAATTTATCAAATTTAAACAAATAATTAATTAATTAAATTTTAATTAACATCCAACTGATTTATACCATATAAACAAAACAATAATAAATTATAAATAAACTTTCTTATAATTAAATAATATAAATAAAACTTATGAATTCCAACTTATTGCTATCAAACAACCCCCCTCAAATTGTTTCTTAAATGCTATGCAAAGTAAAATTCAATCAACTAGGCTGCAAAATCTACACTGCAGAATCTTAGAAGAAAAACCAAAAACCAGAAAATTCAACTCATGTCCATAAATAAACCTTAAAAACTATGGTATTTACATACACACAACACAATTCTTATGTATTCACATATCTAACACTTAAACATTCATATTTACATTCATACCACTCAAATCTTTACCGCCGCATCAAAAATAGCATAGCCACCAACTTTTTAGAAGTGAAATTCACATTTTCATGCGTGGATTTATGACACCAAACTTATAAGTGTCTGATAAATACATAAAAATTGTGTAGCATGTACGTACATTTCCCTAAAAATTATATACCATTTCTACCACAATGCCATGTTTTACTTTCCAGTTCAAGTGCACCTAAATTCAAAATCCATAACAAAAATACAAGAGGAATGCGCAACGCAACTCAATTTCCTGTAATGAGAAGTGATTTACATCCAGAGAAAAGCGGCAAAATGGTCCTTGGCTCATTGAGGGGGTGTTATTCGAGCCTCACAGTTTATAAAAATATCAATTTAGTTGTAAACTTTTTAAGGGGGGGCTAATATAATCCTTCCTAGGGAATATTTCAATTCATATTTAAAGGGTGTGGGGACTAATTCGACATTTTTATAAACTTTAGGACTAAAATGGTCACATGTAAATAGTCAGGGGACCATTTTGACACTTTACTCTTTATATCTATTATGAAACAGCTCTTCAGTAGGTAGAATCATTTAGTTGGGTTAAAAGACTGACTTGATTCTGCCAATGCGAGCACTTTTTTAGCGAGTTCAGGTTTGTTGGCACCCACGAGTCTGTCTATTTGTTGCCCATCTTTCAGGAAAAAGAATGTCGGAGTTGCATGAATATCGAAGGATGTACTCAGATCCTGCAACCATGAAGCCATCAAATGAGCTCGCGAAGAGTTGCTGATGTTGTGGGGCTGAAGGTGCAATTTATATTTGGGGCAATAAATTGTTGATAACTGAATCATACTTTTCAAAGAATTTAGGGAAAAAACGTAAAACTGCACCAGCTTAAGAACTATATGGAAACATGCAACATAATTTACATTTCCACAGAGAGTATTGTCTATTTCTGTCAGATGCTTTAGTAATAAACCCAAAAACGGAGGGGAAAAAAAAACATACATACCACCCAAGTCCTATGTATCCACATATCTAACACCTAAATTTTTTTTTTTTTTACATTCATACCACCAAAATCTATCAAAAGTACCCCTATTTTAAGTTTCAAAAAGTGGAATGCATTTTTTCAAGCATAGAAAAGGTGGAATGTATGTAAAAATTGAAGTTTAGGTGTTAGATATGTAAATAGATGAGAATTAAGAGATATGCATGTAAATATTTCAAAAAACAAAAAAAAAGGAACATCTTGTATATAATAAGGAAGCTTTCTGCGGGGCACTGTTCCGCGACTCCATCCCCCACTACAGGCTGGAGACATTGCTACAGAACCACATGGACCGGCGTCTGCAATCCCATTGCTTCCCCACCCTCATCTTTGCTTCCCTCGCAGTCCCAGCCCCCCACATTCGCTTCCCTCATTATTCCCTCCTTCGCCTCGATATTTCAGCCTGTCCAGCCTCGGTGCTTGCTGCAGCCGCCTGGGACAGTAGCCTTGCTGTCTTTTCCCTGCATCCCCGCCACCCAACCAATTATTTCAGCCATTCCAATCTACCCCCACATCCGCAGTCCCCGGGCAGCCCTCCCTTTGTTGTCCTGCAGTCCACAGCCCTTTCTCTTTGCCGCCCCTCATTGTCCCAACCCTTTGCTACCCGCTCACTGTCGCTGCCATTTCAGGCCTTTCGCTTCTCTGTCAATGCAATTCCAGCCCCTCTTTTTACTGTCCCAGCAACCCACAGCCCATTTCAGCCTCCTACCACCACTCCCCGGCCGCCTAGCCAATCTCCACCATCACAGATCAAGCCCTTGTGTACGTTTGGTCGCGTTGTTCTAATTTCTCTTTTGAACATGTTTGATTGGAATCACATATTGGCTTTTAATAAAAAAAATTATTTTTTCTATTGTAGTTTTGAGTTAAACTCCGATATCAATTGGTATCAGAGTTAGATGAACCCTAATCCTATAATAAAATTCTTGCATCCGCTGAACCCAACCCTATCTCCACCCTTTTCTTTTTCTTTCTCACGAGAAATCACCCCTACACACCTCCTTCCACCCACCCACACTCAAAATTGAATCATACCGTTGAGGAGGCAATTGCCAGAATCTGATAAAAAAGTTCACCATGAAAGAGATACAATGGCAATTCCGCCGAGTGTTACAGAGGCTCAATGAATTTGAAAAAAGGACCTAGGGAGAGGTCACCCATGAACCTGGAAATGAGATCCGCAGAGAGAGGAACGAACACCTAAATTTCTCATGTAGGGATGATTCCAGTGGAGAAGAAAGCATACCACAATGCTTTGGGACATGGTATCAGAGGAGATCGAAACATTAAGTATCCAGTAAAGATTTCAGAGATGACGAAACCTGCTCCGAAGATTTAACCTGAAATATTTGAGAAGCCAAAATTTTAAGTAAGATGAATTTGTCGTATTTTAATGGCCACTTTGATCCGAACGAGTTTATTGAGTGACTCTAGACCATGTAACTTTTCTTTGAGTACCAGAACATTCAACAGGACAAAATCGTAAACTAGCCTTCAGCAAGTTAAAAAAAGTGTGCATTATTTTGTTGGAAAAATTTGAAGCATTTACGCCAATGTGAGGGCAAATACAAACTACTTGGACTCAGATGAAATAAGAGATGCAACGTCAGTACTTACCAGTTCAATACAAATAGGATGTGCAGACCCCAGCTTCAAAAAATGGAGAGATAATACAACTGGATGACCACCATATCTTATAAGTAGAGTTCAATCTTAAAATCTTACAAAAAGAGTACACTCAGGGGAACATCCAAGCAGACCCCGCCCGAGGAGTCACTAAGAGTGAAGAAGAGGTGGAACTAATCCGCATTCTTAAATTCATCACAACAAAGAAGTGTTTCAAATGTCATGGCTTTGGGCATATTGAATTAGATCGCACAACCAAGAGAATAATCTCTTCCAAAAATCAAGGAGCAGTTAAAGAAACAAACAGTGATCCAGGAGAAAAAAAATTTTCAGAGAGGATTCCCAACTTTCAGCCGACGAAGAGACACTCGTGATTCCAGTTGAACCCAGGAGAGAGACTTTAGTTGAGTTGACAATAACTTTCTAGAAGGTAATGCGTGCTACAGCGCCTTGAATTAAATTTTTGCAACCGTTCAACGAAGCATTAACAAGATTGACATTAGATATCCAAAAGAACCATGAGTTTAAAGAGCCGGTACTATGTAGGACAAATTCAGATAAGATGATTTCAAAATTTTCAGATATATAGCCTACCTTCTGAGTTGCCCCTACTAAGGAAGGTCCAACTTGTCAGAGAAAAGAAGATTTTGAGTTACTTTTTGAAGACAATAGGGAGTCATTTAGGTATTAAAATCAGTTCAACTGTGCACCCCTGACGAAAAAATCAGACAGGATGTATGAACTGTAGTGTTATAAATCACTGTAGGATCTTTGTAGAAAAGAACATTCTACAATGGGATCCATGTCCTTGTTGAGAAGATGTCCCTCCTAAGTAGTTACACGCCAATGTGGTCCAACATGCCAAAGATATCGTTCCAAAGTTAACCCTTCTTGACATACTTATTTATCAGACACATCCAACTGAGTACAAAGAGTGGGAGAAACATATTATAGATTTACTTACTCATGATCTGACTCGTGAGAACCTAAATCATTATTCAGCTCCAGCCCAGAGTGCTTTGAAATGCCAATGCCAACAGGACCGACTTACCGAAAGATTATGTCATTTCTGCTATCCTCAATGGGGACAACACAACTATGAGAAGATAAAAGATTTGACAAATAAATTTGAAGCTCTCCCAACTTCCGAGAGACTGATGTGAGCTTCCTGCAGAGCACTGTTCTGATACTCCACCACCACCTACCACATGCTACGAACATTGCTATAGTATTGCATGGAGTCAGTCTCGTATTGTAATAACAAAAAAATAATAATAATCATCACCATTTTAAAAACAAAAAATTATTTAATTAATTAAGTGTCGATTAGGAAAGACACCTTTTGGTGGGGATTAGATTGCAACTACTCATCATTCGACCATATCCAGTTCCGTGGGTGAGTTAGCGAGAGAGGAGAACTATCGAGCCTTAGCATATCGAATTTGAGAAGGATGAAAGAAGCCAAACACGTGAAAAAAGCGGAAGAAGAAGGTAATGTTGGCATCAATTGTTGATGTCTTGAGTGTCGGGTGTCCACCTGCATTACTCAGGATAGTTTACAGTCTGTCTATGATGTCTGATAGTTCAGACACCCTCCCGAGATCTTTTTGGCACGTGTTGAGGGGCACGTAGCCAGGGTTATTCTGCTAGGCTTTGACTTTCGCTTATGCCAACGGCGGTCGGCATTTGACACGTCAGAAGACTTCGATCGAGGCGAAAAATATTATTTGTTGTGTCGCGCGCGAAAATTGACCCGATCTCTAGTAAGCCCATTCAGATGAGCCCGGCCAACGAAACGGACTGCGCGATCACGTCGGGAATGTCGATTTTACTAAGAAAGGACATTCAATTGGCTACGATTTTGCATGTGAGTCTAAAATACATGAATTATTGTGTTTTAGCCCGATTGCTGGAAAAGTGGTTCGGACGGCCTCGAACGACCCCGAATGACAAAAAGGATCGTGTTAGCGTGTCTGAATTGTCGATTCCATCTAAGTAGGGCGTTCGGTATGCCACAATTTCGCGAACGAATTATATATATTCATTTTTGGCCCGACAGTCCAGAAAAGTGGTCTGGATAAACTCGAACGGTGAAAAGAATTGCGCGGATGCGTCCAGAACGTCGACTTTAGTCAGAAAGGACGCCCACCTCGCTGCAGGGACATGTACGAGTGAAGAAAATGCCAACAATAATTATATAATAATTATTATTACAATATAATATAATATATTATATATATTATTATTATTATTATATATATATATAAGGATATAAAAAACGGGATTCTCTCCCTCTCCAGCCCTAGCTAATGCAAGCAGCTGCCAGGATCGCGAAACCCAGTCTCGTCGCCCGGAACTCCACATCGCCGACCTCCCTCGCCGGCGGCGGTGGACGCCTCACAGGCGAACGAGGTCGTCGGCGTCCACCCTCGCCGGAGAGCCTTCCCCGCGGCAGATCTCGCCGATCAGACGCTTAGGAACTCCTCCTTGGCCAGCCGCGCGCCAAAGCCCTTCCCTCCCGTCGGCCACCTCGCCGGCGAGTTTCTCGGTCGCCGGAGTAGCTGACCTCGCCGAGGTTCTACTCAGCCGCTGAGCTTTTCCGTTTATAGCTGGCCGCCGTCCATTTTTGGAATTTTTTTTTTCTTCTGACCGGTTTCCATTGGTTTCCACTTCCTCATCAGCCATCCCTCACCGACTTACCTCCTCGCCGGCATCGATTTCGTAACAAAGCAGCCTCGTTCCAGCACAAAGCACCAGATTTCACATTTTTCTCCTTGTGTTTTCCATTCCGGTTGTGCGCTATCGGCGCACCACCTCCGCCACCTCATCTTCTTGCATTTCTGGCGGTCAGACACTTCGTTGGACAGCGAGCGGAGTCGCTGTTCGAGGAGATGCGAGGGTCTTCCACCTTGCGAGAGAGGCCTCCGTCGGCGCTTCTCCCCGTCGGCATCCTCGTGGGTTCCCCTCTTCCACTGTCGTCGAGCGGCCCTTCTTGAAGGTACATTTTTGGTCAAATATTTTTTTCTTATTTGCCAAAAATTATTTATTTTAAATACTTCGCAAACCTCA